GCGATACTGGAGGATCGTCGCACCAAAGTCTCTGTTTTAGCTCATGAACTGGGGATTCCAGAGGGCACAGTCATTCCCATTATTCATGAAAAATTACACATGTCCAAAGTCAGTTTTTGATGGGTCCCAAGAATGCTGACTCCAGCTCAGAACAGGTCTGACATATGCAAGGAAAACTTGAAGCTTTCTAAACATATCGGGGAAACTTTTTTTTTCCCAGAATTGTAACTGGTGATAAAACTTGGGTTCATCACTGGGATCCCGAAACCAAGCAGGAGTCCATGCAGTGGAAGCACAAGGGATCGCCAACGCCTCGCTAATTTCGTGTTTAGAGATCTGCAGGAAAGATTATGGGCACTGTGTTTTGGGAAAGCGATGGACTACAGCTGCTTGAGTTCATGCCAGACAAGTGTACAATCTCTGGCGATTCCTATGCCACCACCATGAAAAATTTACAAGATGCCATCAAGGAAAAACGCAGAGGAAAGTTGTCAAGGGGTCTCCTCCATGACAACCCGCCCGTCCACAAATCATGGAAAGTTTAGGCATCAGTGAGGGAGTGTGGCTTTCAGGAGCTCAACCATCCTCCCTACAGCCCGGATCTAGCTCCTAGTGACTCTTTTCTGTTCAGACACTTAAAAAAATATTTGCGGGGAAAAATATTTTCATTCAATGAAGAGCTGAAAGTTGCCGTTTCTGATTGGTTTCATGGACAAGAAGTTGACTTCTATTCCCAGGGAATAAAATCCTTGGAATCAAAGTGGAATAAGTGTGTTGAGTTAAAAGGTGACTACATTGAAGAGTAAAGTGTTATTTTTCCCCTTGGATGTTTCTTTCTTATTCAGGTAGATAACTTATTGAGTGACCCTCGTAAGTGTAAAGTTCTCCACGTCAGTCGAAACAACGGTAGGTCTCTCGACACGTTCGGCGACGTTAAATTGGTTGAGGCAAACGGAGAGAGAGATTTAGGAGTTTCTATCGATGAGAACCTCAAGTTTTCCTCGCACGCGCAAGCGACGGTGGCCAAATGCAACAAGACTCTAGGTTACATTCTTCGGTCGGTTGCAAGTAGGACATCTCGCGTTATTCTTCCGTTGTATGCGGCGCTGATAAGACCCCAGTTGGAATATTGCATCCAATTTTGGAGGCCTACAAATGAGGGCGATTTGTTGGCGCTCGAGGGAGTACAGAGGAGGGCCACTAGAATGATGAAGGAGGTCAGGGGACTATCATACGAGAAATGTTTAGAAGTATTGAGACTGTACTCGCTCGAACAAAGGTTAAGGAGGGGCGACCTCATCCAGGCTCTCAAGATAATTAAAGAAATAGACAATGTCGAGTGTAGTAGGTTTTTCCAGTTTGATGACAGCAAGAGAACGAGAGGTAACCGACTTAAGTTGCGCAAACCGCTGGAGCGGCTCAGGTCGAGACAGGAATACTTTACTTGCAGAGTGGTGAACGCGTGAAATGCGTTTGATGACGAAGTAGTGGCTGCCCCTTCTGTGACTATCTTTAAGAAGAAACTAGATGCTTTCATGGACAGGCAAAAAGGTAGGGGCAATGTTGATGTTAGGTCCTAGACAGTAAGCAACTAGGATAGTCAAATTTAAAAAAATACAAAAATATATAATACTTTAATTCAAAGAGATCAAAAGCTGCGGTGGTGGTGGTCGTGGCTGTCACCCCCAACGCACGGGCCTATGATGCAATGCCATTCTGGGTCATAGGCAAGGCCTTCCCCGGCTTAAACCGCCAAGCCATCTTCTTATACTTTAATTCGAAAAGCCGGAGAATTGTGGTTGTGGTCGGCTCCCCAGCGCGCGAGGCCTACAACGCTGTCACTTCAGGCCATAGGCTAGGCCATCCACCCCTCAAAGCGCCAGGTCTTGAGGCTATGCTATTATAGGCCATAGGCTTGGTTATCCAACGCTTTTAGCGCCAGGTCCATCGAGCTATCTGAGCCTGAGCCATCGGCTTTATTCTTAGCTGTGTCAGTCAAAGGGTGGTAATAACTGACTGTCACGTTTTCAATGATCGATTTCAAGTTCTTCATATGAATACATTATTTGCCGAGGTATTCTTTTCTGTATTTATTTGTTTCCGTCAAGTCAGACGTGGCGGTTCGGGACATCGCTTCCATGGAATAGTTTTCTGTTTGCATTTTATGTCATGGTCGATTTATTTGAGTTATCATGATTGATGAAGTCAAAATAATAGTCTAAAAAGTATCTTCATATTAATTTTTGCGAGGTGAGGTTTTAACGCGAAGAAGAAATGTTGGAGGAGTTCCCGCAGGAAGGCGATGAGGCAGTTGTTGGTGGTAAAAAACGGTTGGTGCTGGCGCGGAAAAAAACGTTTGCCACGGCAGTTGCGGTACGAAGTGCCTAAATCGGTGCTAGCTGTAATGGCTAGAATCGGTGATAAACAGCAAGCACATGTACGTAGGGAGCTTAGGGCCACTCAGACCGCTGAACAGCAAGAGGCAGCGAATGCTGAGCTTCGCAATAGGAGACCTGTGCACCCTGCTAAGCTACTTGATGCAAGGTTGGCATTTTCAGGAATTAGTATTTAGCATTGTGCCGCCCATGCACTTACTTCCCTCGGTGCCGTTGAACAATTTTGTGGAAACTGTCCGTACTGTTTAAGAATCATTGGTGTCTGTACCATACGCTAACGCTAATAGCCAATGAGCTAATCGGTGATGCAAGAGTCTTGAATATGTTGGGAAGAAGAAATCAGCAATGTCGTCATGAGTCTCATGAAAACGTGCTATTGGCTCCGCAAGTGTTACCGCTAACACCGTTAGTCGAGCTTATAGTACTACTACCACAAATCCTCGTCTTAGAGGGACTGTACTGTAAGCTATATGTGTATTATTGTAATGCAGCGGTTTAGTTCCGAATGGGTAATGCAATGAACAGAGGATTGTGAAGAAGATTTCATGCTCACAATAGACGATTCAAATTCACACGTACTAGACCGCTAGCGTAGCGGCCGCAGGTCGCTAGTATAGCTTTAAGAGGGTTATACCTACCCTAAAATTAAGGAAGGCTTGACCTCGACACGTGATATCAAAATCGGCGAAATCGCCTCTTGATATCACTAATGATCTTGAATCTTGAAAAACATCAAGAAAGGGGACACAAAGCAGAAGGTTTATATCATAATGAACAAAAATAGCCCCGATGAAGCCGTTGGTCTCAGTTCAACTCCAAGAGTCTGAGCACTTAAAGCGGCCATGTTCATGAATCGGGCGACACACTTGGTTTCAGTATTTCGCATCGAATGTCTTCAATTGACAATTGAAAAAAAAGTCGATTATTTAAATTGCACTGTGGTACTTTTCGCTGTATTCCTGTTCATGTTTTCTCTTTGAAAGCATCTACATTCTTCATTATAATTAATTATAATATATCAGGTCATCCCATGCGGTTTTTTCGCATTGCCAAACTTGTGTCTTGTTTATACGTGTATCTGAGCACATCTCATGGAATATTTCTATGCTAACTTGTTTAGACGTTAGTCTTCCGTCTACGTGTAGGTTTTAACAAGTTAACAGCGCTCCGTTTTTCTTAGACGTTAAGAACAAGATGGAGGTGTCAGGGGAACACATTCGGCATATGATGCTTTATGAATTTAAGAAAGGGAATAACGCGACTGCAGCCACGAAAAAACTTTTATGAGTATTATTGTAATGCAGCGGTTCAGTTCCGAATGGGTAATGCAATGAACAGAGGATTGTCAAGAAGACGTCATGCTCACAATAGACGATTCAAATTCACACATACTAGACGGGTAGCGTAGCGGCCGCAGGCCGCTAGTATAGCTTTTAAAGGGTTAGACCTACCCTAAAATTAAGGAACGCTTGACCTCGACACGTGATATCAAAATCGGCGAAATCGCCTCTTGATATCACTAATGATCTTGAATCTTGAAAAACATCAAGAAAGGGGACACAAAGCAGAAAATTTATATCATAATGAACAAAAATAGTCCCGATGAACGGATTTGGCGAACAGTAAGTGCTTCTTCAAAGACCACATCGTCGGTAATGGTTCCAGCTTGAGTTTTTTCCCTTGTTTGTTCCATTGATAACCTGAATCTTCAAGAATACTCAGAGAGAACTCGCGAGCAGGCAATGGACAAACGCCAAGTATGGATACTGACTCCGTAAGTAGGAATCCGACTTGATCAAATGTCTCATCATGACCCATCATGTCGCCTACAATTTTACATCTGGACAGGTGCAATCCAANGTGAGTACCATCCTTCTGGGAAAGAATGCGGAGGGGGGTCTAATTATGTTGGAATCCTCCCATCGAAATCACGGTAAGAAAATGTCGAATCGCATTTCACGACCTGACGCTCGCTAACTGGCTCCTTTTAGCGAACCGATGCCACTCCCGCTGTTATTCTTTAATCGGTTGAAATGTGTTAACTCCCATCTTAGAAGTGCACCCTCCTGCGTACAAAACATTTCCAGTTATATTCTTTTTATTAAGCATTTTTGGAATCCATCCAGGTATTATGTGCTTGGAGAGTCTGATGAGGGGGAATATGACCAAAACGAATTGGTATTATCAGATATTTCATATCATAATATCAGATGATATTGCATTTATTGGTGGGGTTTTGCTTTCGGGCACAAATATGATAGGTTTATGCGCGTGGATCTTGGATTTATTTGTGATATGTATCGAAATATCAGAACGAAAGGGCATGATGTGCAGGTAAATGTTCTGTAAAATGGGGCCAAAAAGGAGCAAAGAAAAATTGTCAACCTTTCTTGACATGTGGCAAGTTCTTCAAGGATGTTAACGTCACAAAACGTAAAACTGATTTTTTCCCAGTAAATGTGCATCAAAAGCGAGAACTTAGCAAAATTGCAAGTCATTATCTCAATTACATAATTTCTTATCGCACAAAGAGTAAATATGAGGGTTGGAAAATCTCGGACCTTCAGGTATAGGTATAGCGCAAATAAACTGCATGTCAAAAGGTTAGGAAGCCTCTTGATGAAAGATTTGCAAACCATTGGGACCAGGGCAGAACGGGATGTCGCAGTACTCCCAGGTGGAATTCGCAAGGGAGACGAAGCACCAGGGCCGCTCCTTCGAGCCGAAATTACGGCATACGCCGAAGTCGTTTCTGTTTCTGTTATCGCTTTCTGATGCAATCCAGTGGTGCAAGAAATCACTGATCTTCTGAGGCAGTCCATGGTTCTGGCGATCTTGGAATGGTAGGTGGGAGAAAATGAAACTTGTTAACGGAAAGGCTCGTTCGGTCACAGACGTCCACTTAATACATCCCTTTCCTGTTTCTGTCTTGTACTCTTTACCGCTGTACTCCTTCCCCATCTCCGTAAGCCGGCATTCTTTGTAATTGGGCTGCATTACTCCTCTTGCTACAATGGAATGACGATCAATTTGGAACCCATTTGTGCATATGCATGAGTAGCAGAAAAACAGCATGCTCCTGAGAGTGAAAATACCTTAACAGTACCAAGGTATAGTCTGATTGATATTTGTGAAGCATTAATGCAAGATACTGTAAAATGTGAGTGATCCATGCCGGTGGAGTTTGTGGCGATTGAGGCATAGGAGTATTCGCACACTTAATGATGTACTGAAGTAACCAATCGGGGAATTGGGCGTAAATACCAAGGGTATCCGATATAATCGGAACACTAATAATGAGTGTCCAGTCTCTAAAATTTTGAATCGACACGATGTCTACTTATTCACGAATAGGGACAATAATTGCAGAGTCAAAATATGACTCCCCGAATGGCTCTTGAAATCATGCCTGTTGCAACAGCCGCTAGATGTCTCTAGGGAGCCCGGGTGTTTTTAGATACTGCAAGGAATTTAGGCAAGGAATTGCAATCTAAGCTGATATCGCAGAGTCATATTATGTAGAGGCATTTTTATAACCATAAGCCATCAGAAGGTAAAGGGATTTACGCATTCTAGTCCGGCGTCGGGAATTGCCCCTGGTCATGACAAACGCTTGCATCATGATCATTGGCGGGCCGGTCGCCGAGAGGACAATCGGGAAGCGAGTTTCAAAAAGCGGAAAAGTTGACCATTCCTTCTCCTCGACCAAGAACTAGGGGATCTCATTGTTTATAACAGGCATGTCCTTGGTCCTGAGAACCATCAGGAATATATGACTCTCCTTGACGAGCAAGGAGAGGGGAATATCATTTTATTTTTATTAATTAAACAATTAAGGCTTTTTCAAAAATGGATGCTGAGATATTTTGGAAAAGGTTATTGGAGGAAGCCATAATGGAGAATGAGGGTGAGGCTAATAAGAATGTGGGACATTTTACTGTCACATTGAGGTGGGTTCGGGTTGGATGCGTTCGTAAAGAGTAGGCTTATGGTTGGCACAGTTGCTGTCCTAATGTGGCTAAGGGATGGCCAGAGAAAGTTGGCCCGCAGGTCGGCCGTCCCAGACATGACCAACCATAGCCCACCATAACCCCCCCCCCCCCCCCCATAAGCCAACGATAACCTGCTGGCCCGTATATGGTGTGTGGAAGAGCCACACTTGAGCCTTGGTTGACCCAATTATAACTTTTTCACTGGGAAACGGTGCACGTTTACTACATTACGTGATGCAGCGCGTGAGCTGGACTTCATCGCAGACGATGGGGAATGGAATCATTACATGGAAGAGGGTGCGTCACACCCGATGTCGCCACATCTCTCTCTGTGCTAATACTCATTCACTGCCATCCCGTCGATTCTCTGCAGTTATGGAATGCTTTCAATCGGCGCATGTCAGAGGGCTTTGCTCGCTAAGGAGAGGATCTGGTCACTGCTACGACTCTTGTTTTAATCGAAATCGAGCTGTTCCTTCGCAGTTATTATTCTTGCGTGGACCAAAGCATTCCGCAGCCGTTGAATCCTGACGATATCGTGTACGTTGCTGTCTTTACACTTTTTAGTTGTGTTTTGCAACAGTCGAATTAAATGTTGGTTATTTGTGTGCGTATTGGCAGGCATGACACGCTGTACCTCAGGAACTCTTTAATACAAATCTGTTTCATCGTAAACTATAGATCAACATTTTGGTAGCTGAAATCTTGCTAAGACTGTTCTTAATTAATGAGCCGTGAGAAAAATAGTAAAAAGGCCGCACTGCCGGACACAGGCCACTAGTCCGTAAAGATTATAACAACTCACTTGACTCGGATTGGACTCCAGACTCGCTACTTCCTCCAGAATCGTCAAAATCGCAGAATGGGACATCGCAGTACTCCCACTTCAGGGAATCTTTGATGTTGCACCAAGGACCACCTGGATATCCGTTCGCGTTGCGACAAAACTTGTGGCTACTTGTAATTTCATCTGGGAACGACCCTTCACGGACCTCAACCATAATGTCCCCTTCTCTTCCTTCCGGATCTAGCCAGGGTACGCAAGCGAAGCCTGAAATGGTCCTGTTCTTCACACCCGCGTATTCCCCTCCCTTCTGGCTCATCTTGCATTCCGGCAGGCCTGGACGTGGAAACGCAGCCCCCCAAAAATTAGTTCCAGAAAATGTACACCTGTGGATTAAATATTATTTGTTTCGGGTTGAACCTTGCAATGTTCATTCACATCATTTTCATGGACGGATTTAAATTATTGAAAGCGCCATCATAACTTCATATCTCGAAAACTAATTGCGATAAATTCATCTTGTTTGCAGGAAACAGTAGTAAAATATTACCCAATTGTTATATCCCCATTTGCAACATATAGAATGTGCGAACAGATCCGGCAAACATTAGCCACTAGGATATCTGAGGCTGGCTATACAGATTAAGGAGTAAGAAGGAGAAATTCCTTTCTTGAATGCTTTCTTGAAAGAAAGTTGAGGCGTTCGAGTTAAGTGGGTATCCATGAAAGCAAGAATGTGCTGGGTATAAAAGATAGCACATAAGTTTCCAATTACCTATATTTCATCATCCTCACCCCGATGATAGCTGTCCAGTGAATAAGCATGCACACCCTTAGACATGCAGGATTTAATTTCTATTATTTTCTGTTCAACTAATAAATACGTGTTCAATCTCTCATCTTCTCCCCTAAAATTAGTTATTGAAATAGTTATATGTCAAGGTCAATTTTGACCAACCTCCTTTAATTAGAGTGTTATCCTCACGTGGGGAATGAGAACGAACGCTTCAGTTCAATCTGAATATGCGATGTGAGCAGCTTACCATTTCGTAGGAGTTAACTCATTTTAAACAAGCAAAAACCACAATGCCTCCTCCTAAAGCCATGTCAAGATTCCAAGCGGCGTTATCCATGTT